GTGCTGCGAGAATATCTCGACCTCGGTCATATGGAGCACACGAAGCCATGCGAGATAATTTCCAATGGCAAATACTTCTCTTTCTACTTGCCACAACATGCGGTCATCAAACCAGATAAGGTAACCACCAAAGTTCGCGTGGCATGCAACGCCTCAAAAACATCTGGTTAAGGAAAATCCCTAAATGACGTGTTGCACACTGGTCCCACACTCCAGCCAGATCTCATGCTGCTCATTCTGCAGTGGCGAATCCACAGATTCGTGTTCAATGGCGACATTGAAAAATGTATCGTCAAATGCTCATCCACGAGGACGATAAAGATTTTCAGCGAATCTTGTTTCAAACGTCGGCTGACTCTCCTCTCACCGATTATAATCTCAAAACCGTAACGTTCGGCGTTAATTGTGCACCATACCTCGCTATCCGTACCCTGCATCAATTAGCAGATGATAGGATAGCGACATTTCCCTTGGCTGCCACAATACTTAAAACCGAAACGTATGTGGATGACATCCTATCCGCAAGTCATGATATTGACAACGCCACTGAATCACTTCTTCAAGTGATCAAAGCGCTGAAGTCGGCTGGTTTCATATTCAAGAAAGTAACGGCCAATCATCCGGCCATTTTAGAAAAATTTCCAAAGGAGGGAATTTGAGAGCGCTTCCACAACCAAGACCCTTGGTATTCAATGGAACGCACTCACCGATAAGTTTTCCTACACCATTCTGCCTGCATCGACATCGAATGCCGCCACAAAGCGACAAATCTTATCCTCTGTCGCAAAACTTTTTGACCCGGAAGGATGGCTATCGCCAGCGATGATTCAAACAAAGATTCTTCTTCAAGAACTTTGGCTAGATGGCGTTGATTGGGACGAATGTGCCAATCCCATAGCCTTAGCAAGATGGCAACAGTTCGCAGAAAGTCTGCCAGCCATCTGCCACATCGAAACCCCTCGATGGGTTAGTTTCACTCCGCGGCAAGATACCCATATCCACGGGTTTTGTGATGCCTCGGAAAAAGCATATTGCGCAGCGATTTACATCCGCGTAGATGCTAGCAAACAAAAATATTCCACTCTCTTGGTTGCAGAAAGCAAAGTCGCACCATTGAAGACGGTAAGCTTGCCACGCCTGGAGCTGTGTGGTGCAGTCTTACTCCCAAAACTGGTCGAAACTGTTCGAAAACAGCTCAAATTGGAATTGTGAGCAATGCCCGCAACAAATCAAAGGGGTTAGCTACAATCACCAATCCACATCTGACACATAACGAATTTCAATACGCAAAAATTTGTCTTATCAACCGAGCGAAAGAAGCGCTTTGCAAGATAAAAAGCCACTTAACAAAAAAAATTCCGCTTCTTGTTCTCAATCCTTCGTTGGACAAAGACCGACTTCTACGGGTAAGTGGCCGATTAGCACACTCCACATTGAGCTATAATGAAAGGCACCCAATAATTCTCCCTACCGGAGTTTTTACTTCTTCACGAAGAAACACGATCAATGCTCCAAATGGTAAGGCAAGAGTAATACGTACCAAAGCTAAAACCTCAAATTAAAAATGGATTTTTCAATGCAAAGTGTGCACGCTTTACCAGCAACAAACACGCACCCAAATAATGGCCTCTCTCCCCCTGAGCGCTGCAGTTTCTCACTCCCATTTTCCACAACGGGAGTAGACTTTGCTGGGCCATTCCAAATTTATTATCGGTGCTAAGATCTACAACCCTTATCAAGGGATACGTTGCAGTTTTTGTCTGTTTTTCCACAAAGGCAGTGCATCTCGAGCTATGCCCGGATCTTACAACCGAAGCTTTTCGAGCAGCATTCGCCCGCTTCGTTGGCAGACGAGGGGTCCCCTCAAAAATGATGAGCGACAATGGAAAACTTTCCCTTGCCCTTCAAGGCGTCAACTGGCAATATATACCACCCAGCGCCCCCACATGGGCGGCTTGTGGGAATCTGCAGTGAAAAGCTTTAAAATCCATTTAAAGACCACTGCAACCCACAAGATTAATTTCGAAGAATTCACGACGCTTCTGGTGCGAATTGAAGCAGTCCTCAACTCGAGGCCTCTATCCGCACTTTCTCAAGACCCAGCTGATAAGACAGCACTTACTCCGGGTCACTTCCTTCGAGGTGCACCGCTATTGGCCATTCCCGAGCCTAATGCGGAAGACCTCTCTCTATTAAACCGGTGGGAGAAAGTCAAAGCACTGCACCACCAATTTAGTCGCCGCTGGAAAGAAGATTACCTCAAGGATCTTCAGAAGAGATAGAAGTGGAAAACCCCACAACGCGATCCTCAGCCAGGTGACCTCGTCGTGATCAAAAAATATTCGCTCCCCCCCACCGAGTGGCAATTGGGACGAATCGAAAACTTTCGCCACGGCCTGATAACCACAAACGTGTCGTAGAAATCCCCACACAAAATGGAGTTATCACGCGGTGTGCTTCCTTCCAAAAGCACAATAAACCATTCTATACATATTTTCCTTTTGTATATTAAGGGTCTTAACTTCCCGTTTAAATATTGTACCCAAGTACTTCTCGTTTCTCTGCCTTTGCTTCTACTTGCAGATCGAAAACATCATGGCAGCACGGAAGGCATGCCCCCGGCTCCAACGGCGGAGATAGACAACTGCCTTCAATGCCGGCTCTGCCACAAGTATCACGCGCTCAGGACGTGCCCGGCCTTTATGGCCATTAAGCCACCGCAGAGATGTGCAGTACCCGGGCGCAAGGGTATTGTGTCAACTGCCTTGCGCTCACCCAAACATAGGGAAGCAAATTTTAAGCAGTAACATCGATACATCGATGTTTCGATGCATCGGAGAAAAGAACATCGAGGCTAAAATACATCGCCAGAGAAACATCGATATATCGATGGTTTCCGATGTTTTGCAATTTCTTAATTTCTAGTTAAATTTAAAACATTGAATACTTTATTAATTATGAATGTTTTTTCCTGTATTTTCTTACCCTTTCTATAGCCTTTCTATTATTAGAATCAAAATGTATACCATCGTAAGGTCGTTCGGGCCTAAAGATCCTAGTCCTGATCTTGTTAAAATTAAGGGGTGTTTGGTTCTGTTTTAACGGCTAGGTCATTAGCATTCACAATGAATCCAACAATTTTATTGAGCTTGGGGCCGTTTTTTATGAAAAATGTTGTGGAAAAGCAACAATTATTTAGAAAGGTAAGAAGTTATAGCTGCTATTTGGGAGATCACCACATCTTCTAATCAGACTTCTTCAACCGCGGTCACTGTGAAGATAGCAGCTATAACTTCTACTTTTTGTAAAATCATTTTTGTTGATTTCAATAACGTTTTTCATAAGAAACGGCCTCATGAAAAATTCTGAATGAATAATAAATCTAAGGTCGGTCCAACATACCGAAAGAAAGTCGGAGTGTCCTTAAAGTCGATGTTTAAAACATCGGTAAAACTTCCATGGATGTTAGTGAATGTAAACATCGATGGCAAACATCGAAAATTGAACCGATATTATCGATGTTTCAAAAACCCCTAAAACATCCCTACCCACACAACCGGCGAATGCGATTCACCAGGCAGCTGCAAGGTTTGCGGATTAGCGCATCATACGCTGCTGCATGTGGCGACTATCAGGCCCGCGGAAGCAGCAGGCCAACCGGCCCGCAACGGCCACAAAGGCCCCAACGAGCGTCAAGCGGCGCGCACCGTCGAAGAAAAAGGCGCAGAAGAACCCGCGCAACCAGGCGCCGAAACCACCGCGAGAGAGGACCGCTCCACGAATGATCGCGCGCACCCCCAAGGCCTGCAAACTGCCACCTGCCAGGCCCGCACCACTAACCGCGTCCAGGGCAACAGCATCCGCGCGCTAAAAGAGCTGCAGAAGACCCTAAGCAGCGCATTCCTGCAGGGCGGGGAGGATGTTTAAGCCGCCGCTTAAAACGTAATTCAGCGTCCGTGCGTGCATCCTTTGGCCGTCGCTGTGCGGAGTCGAAGCGACTCCGAAAATTATTAACGAGCGCGCACGGCCGCCTACAATCCTCGCGGAAAATCAATAGCCAGTTCAGCAATTAACATCGGCGAACGCGCACGCGCACGTTGAAAATCTTTTTAAATGTCTCATTTTTAAGTTATGTACGTGAAAACATAAACTTAAATTGTTAATAACTCTGAATAAACTGAGCTGAAGTTTCTATCTTTTAAATTTGAAAAAGAAAGTCTGTCATTAAAGCGGAAAGAAACCGTGTGTGTGTACGGTGGGTACGAAGAGGTACCAGCGAATTATTCAGTCTCTTATGCACGTATAGCTTTGGAAAATATATAACATCTTTTTGCTTTGAGAAAAGGGCATATCCAGAAGTAGAAACATTCCTTATGCACCGGATTGATTAACTTTTCGGACAATACGACCAAAGATATTTGGACTTTCCAGCGGTAAATCGATGTTATTCGCACAGTGCAAACAACAAAATCGTTATTCAAGGAAAGAAATCCCCATTTTTTGAGTGTCTAGCTTAAAATCAGGGCTTGAATTCCTAAGAGCATTTCTAATATCTACTCTTAACAAGATTTCGTGCCTCGAAAGTTCTTTCCCGTCATCTTACCAGTCTCGGGATATTATGGGCCGTGATAGAATATGGAAAAATAATAAAACGCGTTTTTGTATGAAAATAGCTTCTACATATTTCAGTTTTTAACACCCAGTTATTAGTGTACCTTCTTGTTGGAATTTATGACCTTGCAGCAACCGGAAGCCGAATAACTCCTTATGCACATATGTGACCTGGTCTACGGAAAGGGGGCTTAGGTGTCAAAAAATCAATTTTCACTTTTTGGTTGATTCGGATGGAAGATGAGATGCTTTTTCACGTGGTGAAAAGCAGAAAATCCTAACTTGCTTAGAAGTGTACTAAAAATGTAGAGAAAGAAGAGTAAAAATACGACAAAATATAATTTATTGGTAATGAACAAAATACATTGAATTATAAGCTATAAAGACATGATTATACACTAGAAAAACGTATTATGGGCCAAAAATAATAATGCTGAGTAGTTTATGTATTTTTCTTTGTTGTCGTTTTCCTTGAGATCTTTTTACGTGTTGATCCTGAGGAAGATGGACCTGGTTCCTCGTCTGGTTTGAGAACATCTTCACTAGTTTTTGCCTTCCGTTTCTTCGATGGCAAATCTTTCGGCAATGGAGCCACAATATCTACTTTAGATATATCCGAAACTAAGCTGCGAAGATTGTGATAGATGTACCACTGACGTTCCAAAGATAAACCGGCTGGTTGTATAACTTTCGGCATTTCAGGATCGATAGGTTTTAACAGAAGCTTAAAGGACTGCACTTCTTCACTGTCTGCGAATTTCTTTGTTTTTACACAATCTGTAGAGATTATGAAATGATGGAATTGCGTTATTCCAACAAGTGACTTGTACAGTGGTTTAAAATAGCTGTCCCATTCATACCAGACGACTTTTTCAGCCGATACAGCTTTATTATAACCCCCAGGTGATGATGCCTCGACACACTGCAGTAAATCTGCATACGTGTCGATGTTACTGACGGCATACTTACTTTTGAAAATACCGAAGTAACGATCAGGCGCGAACTTAGTGTGCCCGGTAAGTAGAAAATTGAATAAAATAGTTTTGTTAAGACCCCGAGCCAAACACCATTGCAGATATGATAGTACAGTGTTATTCTTATTCTGCCCAACACAATTGTCACAGAAAAGAACGAGTGTTTCAATGTCTTTATAGTAGGTTTGCAGGTGATAATGCAGGATGCTCACAACACAGTTAGGTCCTTTACCAACGTCATCTTTTTCGTCTATCATGTAATTGTACTGTAAAAAAAAAAATATAAGTAAGATCCTGTAAAGGCGAGCAATTTGAGTTCCTATGATTCAGTTTGAAATTCTAACCTGAACTTTTTGTTTTTCGTCTGTAATTCCGAAGACTCCGCACTTCTTGGTTGCTTTGAAGTATGCTGTACCAGGTTGTTGTGGACTGACAGGGTAGTGAACGGTTTGGGCAAAATCAAATGACAGAACGACTGCTGTAGGGTCAGTATTTCTACACCAACTTTGATAATATTCTCGTTGATTTCGGGCTCGGTGGAGGTGATCAAGAAATTGATTAAGCTTCTGTGCGCGTTCAATGTCAGTAACACCTTTGGCTTGCGCAATCGATATTGTGTTTCCTATTAAAAGAAAAAATACTGAATTTAATCTCAACGTTTGATACAACTATAAAATGAGAAAATAATGAGCTACTTACCACGGCAGACATCGCAGAGATCATCCGCTGGTTTCATAACTGTAACATGGGGTATGTATTTGGACCATATCCGTCGAAAACTGCAATTACTCATCTTCACTTCGTCATCACTGAGTGAAGAAATGTATTTTCGATAAATTGAGGACTCCGTCTCACTGGATGGCAGTTTCATTATCCGAAAATCCTTAAATTTTGGGAGTCGTCCGGGCAGTGGAAGAGACATTAAATCGGCTATAGACTCGACGAATTTAACAGCTTTTTCGATGTCAGCCGGTTTAAATGACTTTGGATGTGTACTCGGTTTATTTGCCAGTCCGTGTTGGCGCACTGTTACACCCTGTGCGTGAAAATGACGTACTAAATTTTCGTAACGCTTCGTCGTACAGGCATGTACAAAAAGGAAAAACGAACGACAAACAGGTACTCTGTAGAAGGTAAATTGAATTCTATGCCTCATAACTTCTGTATCCTGTCTCTGTCCATATTTCTTCCGCCCAGCAAGCTTTGCGTATACACTTTCTAGCTTTTCGTTACTCATAATTCCAGCTTCGATGTGACTTAGTATTACTAAATCAAGTTCATTATTCGACATCTCTAAACAATTGTTCCGCGTACTCTCGATCATTTCCCGTGGTATCAGTGTATGGCATTCATTATTACAACAATCTTTTGACAGAAATTTTGTTACCAGCTCCTCCTCCTTTACATCAACAACATACAGGTCCATCTTAACAAAAGTTTGTTCGGTATCATCTTCTGCCTGAGATACACATACTTCGTCTTCATCATCATCGCTCTCTTCATAGTTTTCATCATCGTTTTCATCATCCTTTTCATGGAAATATTGTCCGTATACGGCACTGAACTCCTCATCAACACTCATGTTTCATTTCATGCGAAATGCGAAGACGATAATCAACAGAAACAGTAAACGTCACTTCTTCAGTGTTACTTTTTTAAATGTTCCACACTAGCAACTTACACGATGAACTATAATAATATTCCGACCAACAACAACACTTACTGGACCAACAACAACACTTACTGGACGTCCGGCGCGGAGAACAATTAACGAGATAATGAGAAACTGACGAAACGAGTTGCTTACTTTTAACAGCTTTTTCACAGAAAACTAGTTTTCGCACGTAAGCTCCCTTTTCGTAGACCAGGTCACATATATTGATTTTTTAATGAATGGACTACTGAGTTCTGAAACGGTAGATAAAATTATACACGAATGCCAACCTAATGTATGGAAAATTCTTATAAATCAAGAGCTATTATAACTGCATACCACACAAAAACTTTACCCTTATATAATACAGAGAAATCGAGGAAAAACATGATGCACATATAATTCTTTTACTAAGGTACAGTTATCGAAAAAATTATAGCCGCACCAAATTTCGACAAGTTTTAAAATATTATTTTTGTTGTTATTTAATTTTGATTAGTTTTGTTTTGTAAGCCCGGGCAGACGTTGTCCTGCTACACACCGATACATATGCAGGTTACATGCATCGCAGATATTATGCGTCTTCGCACCGAAGCTTCCCTGCAGGGAAAGCTACCAGTTGTGAACCAGAATGTTACCAGTTTGCGTTTAAACGCAACTAGTTCACGTTGTATCCTTTTTCAATGTTAGCGTCTCGGGTTCAAAACTATGTTGGAACCAACAATATACACTAGGGCGGGTCAATTTGTATGGATCGATTTTTTTCGACATTGTTCCTAGCATATTCGGATTCTTCATAAAATTCTAAGAAAAAAATTCCTCCAGACCATAGCTCTAAAGTTAATTTCGAGCCTGCGCATTTTTAAAAGAAGATATCTTATATATAAATATGAATTGCTGTCCGTTAGCCTCGCTAAGACTCGAAAACAGCTTGACCGATTTTAATATTTTTATTTTTTCGGTTTGTTTTTTATAATATCCGGATGGTTAAAACCAGAAAAAATAGAGAGTTGCCGCCTGTTTAAAAGTTTCAATATAAGTAAATTAATTACATAAATTAGATATTGCAATATGGGTGTCAAAAGAAAGAGGTTATGAAGGCTTACAGGCGAAAATATTTTTGAGGGGGGTTGCCACCTGTTTCAAAATTGAATTAAATGAAATTGATAAGATAAATTAAATATTGCAATATGGGTATCAAATTAAAAAGGTTTAAGAAGGCTTACTACTGAAAATATTTTTGAGTCGAGTTGCCACCAATTTCGAAAATTTAATTCAATTAAGTTAATAAGATAAAGTATGTATGTATTATAATATAGGTGTCGAACGAAAAGTATTTGAAAAATTATTGATTAAGAAATATTTTCTATAGGCCTGCCACCTACCTGAGCGGTAAAAACTAAAAGCCATACTCGCAAATATTATTCAAAGCTTTTGAGGCTCGCATCAATGTGGAATACTGTAACTCCGTCAAGTTAGTGTTTATTGATGGCAAACAAAGTACTATCATGTTTGGCAATGATATCACCCCATCGAACAATGCACTTAGCCTCGATATAAAAAGAGAACAAAAGCCGAAGTATTAGCCGAAGCAGTTCACACAAATGTTCCACAATTGAACTAACAAAAAAATATGGCCTATGAATCTTTTATAGAAGCTGTGAACACTGGAGTAAAATTTAAACAAAAAAACAAAACCGACTTCAATTCTCATATACAAATTTAAGTGTACCATTATTTTCTTCGTGGCCCAATTATCGGATCTACACTCAATTAGTAGGAGACTACCTCTGAGGAACCACCTTTCCTTTCAAAAAGAGTTATAGAAAACGCATAACGTAGTCCAAAGTTATGCGGTAACATACATAAAAAAATATTCCGACGAATTGATAAAATATGCAGATTAATATTTAATAAAGTGTTACGGATATATTTTTTTTAATACAAACCTGTGCTTGGGAGTTTATTGATACGAAAAATTAATTTCTGATATCTATTTTTTATTGAAAGAACCGCAAGATTGCACTACAAAGCAAATTACATATTTTTTACTATTGTAACGGGAGAAGTTACTGTATGTATTTTTTTATATGTACAGTGTCGAACAAAAGTTTTGGCACAGTAAATTTTCGCATTACATATATGCAGAATTTTTAATTTATTTCCGATAATTTTTTTTAAAAACATATATGCAAAATTTTTAATTTATTTCCGATAATTTTTTATAAAAACATAGTTCATACTACACTCAAACACATAAAAATCAAATGTGTAAACTTTGTGAAAAACTCAGGAAAATTCAATAAATCTGCATACTAATTTGCAATTTTATATTCAGATTTTCAAGCAACTTCAAACCTGCACTTTGATAAACTAAAATTGAATGGATTATTAAACTGCATACTTGGAATTTTTCTAAAAAATACTTTGCCTATATTGCGTAAAATTTACTGTGCCAATACTTTTGTTCGTTACTGTAAGTTTAAGGGTTTATTTACCCTTAACTTTAAAAAACCAAAAAAAAAATTTACAATATTTTAAAATTATTTTTCGAATCATAAATTTTTTTATGATTAACAATGTATTTATATTTTTTTTTGGTTTTAGATCCTTTTTGCTTTCAACACGAGGTATATTTTTTCTAGTTTCTATTGTCATAGCCATAACTCACTCTCTATTTTTATCAATCAATCAATCAATGAATCAATTTTATAATTTTTTTCGGCATTTTTCCTAATTACAAGTAGAGCTTTATAAAACTTTTATAACACCAAATGTTTATCAAGCTTGGGATTTTATGTTATCCGGGCAGGCTTATTAATTTAGCCAGAGAATATGTTTTCTTTATAAAGTTTACCCAGTTACCCATTTTAAACTGCTACCTGTACTGTATCAGCGGTTAAAACTTGTTAAATTTTTATTTAAAATTTTCGGTAAGGAATAAGCGAGTGGATGAAAAATATATAAACCGTAAGAACGGCCCATATATATGTATATGAAAGAATACACACATGCGACGACTCTAGCCATTGTGTGTCACTCCTTTAAATCATAGTTATTTTTTTCTTATGGTATTAAAAAAATATCGTTCGTAACACTTTAGTAAATATTTATCCGTATATTAACTGAGTATATATTAAAGACTAGAAGATGACCCGGTGAACTTCATATCATCTATAATTTATTTGAATTTAACTTTGATCAATTATAACAAATCTTCAAAATCCAATACAATGAGATCACTAATACTGCCTGCTGTTATAGCTGATAAAAGATTCCACACCTATAAGATGTGCCACGCCCCTTTTTACAAACTCATTTATATACATATATCTTTCCATAAGCACCTACCATAGGTATCTGTGCATTTCAAATTTCGAGTTCATGTGACTATAATTCCGAAGTTAGAGCTGATTAAAAATTTTCACTATGGGAGGTATCCCTCATCCCCCTCCCCCCCTTGGCGAGTTTCAATTTTTTTACCCTATTATAGGTCCAGGAGTCATGGCAATACTTTGGCAAAATTTTATTCGATTCTGTACATCCGTTCAGGCTGCAACCTGGTACATACATACATACATACTTCCACAAATATATAGTAGATTTGCTTTGAAGCGCCATCTTGTGGTTCTTTAAATAAAAAATAGATATCAGAAATTAATTTTTCGTATCACAAAACTCCCGAGCACAACTCTTTATTACAAAAAAAACATTCCTAACACTTTAGTAAATATTAATCTGATTATGGACTTAGTATTAATTAAAAATAATTTCTTTTAAAATTGCGCAGGCTCGAAATTGATTCTAGAGCTATGGTCTAAAGGGCTTTTTTTCTTAGAATTTTATGTAGAATCCGAATCTGCTAGGAACGATGTCGAAAAAAAAATTGACCCGCCCTAATATACACCCACAAAATTTCATTGAAATCGGTTAAGTGGTTTCGGAGATTAGCGTAAACGAACACAGCGAAACGGGATTTTTATACACCTACCTAGAAATGTTGAAAAGTTTCGGATATTTTCCTGTTAATTATTTAATTTTTAATCATTTTTATAAAAGAATAACTCTTTATATAAAAACAAGGTATATAAACTATATTTTCTTCCATATAAAAATATATTTCGGGCACGTGTTTTAT